GTAGTGTGGGACAGGGTGAGGGTAAACAGTCAGTGTTGTCATTTGATGGTGTGTGGGACAGGGTAAACAGTCAGTGTTGTCATTTGATGGTGTGTGGGACAGGGTAAACAGTCAGTGTTGTCATTTGATGTAGTGTGGGACAGGGTGAGGGTAAACAGTCAGTGTTGTCATTTGATGGTGTGTGGGACAGGGTAAACAGTAAGTGTTGTCATTTGATGGTGTGTGGGACAGGGTAAACAGTCAGTGTTGTCATTTGATGGTGTGTGGGACAGGGGGGGGGGTAAACAGTCAGTGTTGTCATTTGATGGTGTGTGGGACAGGGTAAACAGTAAGTGTTGTCATTTGATGGTGTGTGGGGCAGGGGGGAGGGTAAACAGTCAGTGTTGTCATTTGATGGTGTGTGGGGCAGGGGGAGGGTAAACAGTCAGTGTTTCACACGTTTAGACGATTGCTGCCACCGCCCATATTTAACCAACCAATCAAATCCTGCAGGTAATGAAAGTTGCCAAGTCTCACAACCAAGTTCAGCCACATAACTTTGATGAGAGCAAGTACGACCCCAGCAGAGAGAAGTCTGGGGGTGGCGACAGGGGTCAGACATGCCCCCCTGGGGGTGGCGACAGGGGTCAGACATGCCCCCCTGGGGGTGGCGAGAGAGACCAACCCGCCCCGCCCAACCATGAGGCCGATCAATGCCAACAAGACAGCTGCAAATGTGAGGTTAATGAAGCCCTCGGGCATATCCCCACCCCCGGGCACATCCCCACCAGATCAAAGCTGGGCGCGGGCCGCGGCTCTGTGCCGCTGGCTAATCACGTCTGGTGCGGCTCGGCAATAAAGAAGATTGGTCACGTGATTGTCCACGGCGCCAACAACCAGTCAGACTACTTAACTCGTAGCCCTAATTATAACAGCTCAAGCTTACGAACCGTTGCCATAGAAACCTCCAGACTAGAACAAGGTAAACACAGGGTGGACGACACCAATGGGAAATCTGACAATACAGTCGCTACCTGTGCTGACCATTCAGTGACCAACACTGGACCAGCTGACCATTCAGTGGCCAACACTGGACCAGCTGACCATTCAGTGGCCAACACTGGACCAGCTGACCATTCAGTGGCCAACACTGGACCAGCTGACCATTCAGTGGCCAACACTGGACCAGCTGACCATGCTGTGGCCAACACTGGACCAGCTGACAATGCTGTGGCCAACACTGGACCAGCTGACCATTCAGTGGCCAACACTGGACCAGCTGACCATTCAGTGGCCAACACTGGACCAGCTGACCATTCAGTGGCCAACACTGGACCAGCTGACAATGCTGTGGCCAACACTGGACCAGCTGACCATGCTGTGGCCAACACTGGACCAGCTGACAATGCTGTGGCCAACACTGGACCAGCTGACCATTCAGTGGCCAACACTGGACCAGTTGACCATTCAGTGGCCAACACTGGACCAGCTGACCATTCAGTGGCCAACACTGGACCAGCTGACCATATGATAAGCACGATACAAACAGACCATATGGTACCGACCCCTGAACTGCCCACAACAAGCAGCGACGTCTGGACATCCCACCGTGTGAACACGACTTCCGGTCCAGTCTGCAAACGCCGTGCGTACAACGCCAGCAGGAAGGCGGTCAAATCCCTGCTGATCGTGGTCTTGGCCTTCGTCGTGTGTATGACGCCCTTCAGTGTGACAAAACTCTACAAGGTACGTCCTACACGTCTTTAGACCAAACTCTACAAGGTACGTCCTACACGACTTTAGACCAAACTCTACAAGGTACGTCCTACACGTCTTTAGACCAAACTCTACAAGATACGTCCTACACGACTTTAGACCAAACTCTACAAGGTACGTCCTACACGACTTTAGACCAAACTCTACAAGGTACGTCCTACATGTCTTTAGACCAAACTCTACAAGGTACGTCCTACACGTCTTTAGACCAAACTCTACAAGGTACGTCCTACACGTCTTTAGACCAAACTCTACAAGGTACGTCCTACACGACTTTAGACCAAACTCTACAAGGTACATCCTACACGTCTTTAGACCAAACTCTACAAGGTACGTCCTACACGTCTTTAGACCAAACACTACAAGGTACGTCCTACACGACTTTAGACCAAACTCTACACGTCTTTAGACCAAACTCTACAAGGTACGTCCTACACGACTTTAGACCAAACTCTACACGTCTTTAGACCAAACTCTACAAGGTACGTCCTACACGACTTTAGACCAAACTCTACAAGGTACGTCCTACATGTCTTTAGACCAAACTCTACAAGGTACGTCCTACACGACTTTAGACCAAACTCTACACGGTACGTTATACACGTCTTTAGACCAAACTCTACAAGGTACGTCCTACACGTCTTTAGACCAAACTCTACAAGGTACGTCCTACACGTCTTTAGACCAAACTCTACAAGGTACGTCCTACACGTCTTTAGACCAAACTCTACAAGGTACGTCCTACACGACTTTAGACCAAACTCTACAAGGTACGTCCTACACGACTTTAGACCAAACACTACAAGGTACGTCCTACACGTCTTTAGACCAAACTCTACAAGGTACGTCCTACACGTCTTTAGACCAAACTCTACAAGGTACGTCCTACACGACTTTAGACCAAACTCTACAAGGTAAGTCCTACACGTCTTTAGGTCAAACTCTACAAGGTACGTCCTACACGTCTTTAGGTTAAACTCTACAAGGTACGTCCTACACGTCTTTAGGTCAAAACAAACACACACACACACACACAAACACACATAAACCATCTCTGAACACATTTTTTTAAACCCTTTAACATGTATTTTAACACCTCCCCCCCCCCCCCCCGGTTATGCAGGTTATATTCCCCTACAAAGGGGCGCTACCCGGCTACATAAACCTAGTCGCCAGCCTGTTCCAGTACTGCGCCTCGGCCATCAACCCCCTCATATACGGCATCTTCCGACAGGACTTCAGGGCCGCTTTCACTATCGTCTTCAGGAGGTTTCTCAAACGTCAAAGCACGTCCAACTTTGAGATGACGTCATACTAATCAACCACGTGGGCTGACGTCATATAACCCATTCAAACGTGTGACCTTTTATAAACACGCAGGGGTCACACACGAGAGACTTGACGCACGAGTTTTAGCTCTCATCCCCTCCTCGTCAAAAGCCAGACATCACATCTTAGTATACCAACCCCAAAAATTTAATTTAAGATTCATTTCTAAAATCGAGGCCCTCGACGTCATTAAAGTCTCCCCCCCCCCTTCCTAAAAGTGACATCGTTTATGGACGACCCCGGAAGAGCTAACGTCTGACCACTGTTAACAAAACTCAGAAAACACGTGATGAGCTATAGAAAACTAGGCCAGAATCTATCAAAACTAGCGTCAGAAAATGATTGAGACTAGCCTCGTATGTCCAGCATTGACGGCATATTGACATGAATTAACCAAACAAAAGAAACGGAGCGGGCAAGCGGAGAGACAAGGGAGAGCGGATGGAGAGAAGAGAGAGACAAGGGAGAGAGGAGGGAGAGAAGAGAGAGACAAGGGAGAGAGGAGGGAGAGAAGAGAGAGACCAGGGAGAGCGGAGGGAGAGAAGAGAGAGACAAGGGAGAGCGGAGGGAGAGAAGAGAGAGACAAGGGAGAGCGGAGGGAGAGAAGAGAGAGACGGCTGATGGCTCAGAGATCAGACGCCATGGATCTCTGACAAACTAGACCGATGAGAAGAAAACAAGGCTGGCAAATATTTTAATTAATTAACTGTTGTCCACTGCACAAAGCCTGTTGAAAGGGAGAGAATCCCTAAAGAAAATGCCAAACAAAAATGGCTTACAGGAAAAATCATTACTTCAAACAAGGAAGCTAATAATGTCGGCTAAAAACTGGTTTAATACGTGGATTTAAAAACTACATTGTTTTTTTTATTTTAGTGATTAAAGTACTAAGTTGCCTAATTTCATTAGGAAACTGTTTTTTTTATCTTAAAAGCAATATTTTTTTTTATAATATGAGAACCTTAAGGTACTGTTGATTAAGACAAAATAATTGTGTCTAATTGTGCACTACCCCTGGATCAACAGTCTGGTAGCAAATAAAGGTATCTGTAAGTTTCTGGTAGCAAATAAAGTTATCTGTAAGTTTCTGGTAGCAAATAAAGTTATCTGTAAGTTTCTGGTAGCAAATAAAGTTATCTGTAAGTTTCTGGTAGCAAATAAAGTTATCTGTAAGTTTCTGGTAGCAAATAAAGTTATCTGTAAGTTTACTAGATGCACCTTCACTACCCCAGATATTTTGGAACCTGTAAGATTCTATCAGATTACCTTCCCAGATAGCTGGGAAATGTTGTAACTAGGTTAATGGAAAAACTTTCAAGCTCAAGTTGCTAATGACTGCTTTGTGCATGAAAGATGACATTTATGTATTTATGTTTTTATAATTAAGTTTAAATGTGTGGATGCATCATGTGGACGGGGAAATCTATTGATTTTTTTTCACTTAGGACTAGTCAGTGCTGCTGCACAATTTGTTTTGGATTTTTTAATTTTACTGGAATTTTTTTTAACTTTCCTCTCATTCAAATGTACATGACTCTCTTATGTTATAATTCTATTTGTTACATAATGGTGGACATTTAACAATGTTAATAAAATAAACGAAATTTTTTTTCATAATGGAGTTCCTGGTTTCTATAAAAAATAAACAGGCATTGGCTTCATTAAAGAGGTTCATAAGGACAAAAACGTGAATTTTTTTAGTGGAGATTTGGTGAACTATAAACAACATGCAATACTTTATACATAATAATTTCAGCTCCTTTCCACTATATGGTTACATGAGCACAGGTGAGACTTATCAAAATGGAGTTGATATGTCCAACTGACCAATCAAAACGAGTATGTCTATTTGACCTACTGACCAATCCAATGGGTTGAGGGGACAGAACAGGGACACTGCTTATAACACTACTTACCTCCCCTTTGTCCACAGAAAATCCTTGACCTTTATAAGCATACATGGCCTTGACCTGAGGAATTTTGCGAGTCTCTACGACGTCCTGGAGGATCTCTCTCTCCACTATTTCCTCCACCTCCACCTCTTTAGGCACTTGGATGACCTCCTCCTCCTCTTCATCTTCCTCCACCTCCCCGTCCACCTGCTCGCCATTCTCCACAGGCAGGAATTTGGCTGGAGATATCTGCAACAGCAAAACTTCTCACTAACTAGACTTGTATCAACAACAGCAAATCTTCTCACTAACTAGACTTGTAACAACAACAGCAAAACTTCTCACTAACTAGACTTGTAACAACAACAGCAAAACTTCTCACTAACTAGACTTGTATCAACAACAGCAAATCTTCTCACTAACTAGACTTGTATCAACAACAGCAAAACTTCTCACTAACTAGACTTGTATCAACAACAGCAAAACTTGTCACTAACTAGACTTGTATCAACAACAGCAAATCTTCTCACTAACTAGACTTGTAACAACAACAGCAAATCTTCTCACTAACTAGACTTGTATCAACAACAGCAAAACTTCTCACTAACTAGACTTGTATCAACAACAGCAAATCTTCTCACTAACTAGACTTGTATCAACAACAGCAAATCTTCTCACTAACTAGACTTGTATCAACAACAGCAAATCTTCTCACTAACTAGACTTGTATCAACAACAGCAAATCTTCTCACTAACTAGACTTGTATCAACAACAGCAAATCTTCTCACTAACTAGACTTGTATCAACAACAGCAAATCTTCTCACTAACTAGACTTGTATCAACAACAGCAAATCTTCTCACTAACTAGACTTGTATCAACAACAGCAAAACTTCTCACTAACTAGACTTGTATCAACAACAGCAAAACTTCTCACTAACTAGACTTGTATCAACAACAGCAAATCTTCTCACTAACTAGACTTGTATCAACAACAGCAAAACTTCTCACTAACTAGACTTGTATCAACAACAGCAAATCTTCTCACTAACTAGACTTGTATCAACAACAGCAAAACTTCTCACTAACTAGACTTGTATCAACAACAGCAAATCTTCTCACTAACTAGACTTGTATCAACAACAGCAAAACTTCTCACTAACTAGACTTGTATCAACAACAGCAAATCTTCTCACTAACTAGACTTGTATCAACAACAGCAAATCTTCTCACTAACTAGACTTGTATCAACAACAGCAAAACTTCTCACTAACTAGACTTGTATCAACAACAGCAAAACTTCTCACTAACTAGACTTGTATCAACAACAGCAAATCTTCTCACTAACTAGACTTGTATCAACAACAGCAAATCTTCTCACTAACTAGACTTGTATCAACAACAGCAAATCTTCTCACTAACTAGACTTGTATCAACAACAGCAAAACTTCTCACTAGACTTGTATCAACAACAGCAAAACTTCTCACTAACTAGACTTGTATCAACAACAGCAAAACTTCTCACTAACTAGACTTGTATCAACAACAGCAAAACTTCTCACTAACTAGACTTGTATCAACAACAGCAAAACTTCTCACTAACTAGACTTGTATCAACAACAGCAAATCTTCTCACTAACTAGACTTGTAACAACAACAGCAAAACTTCTCACTAACTAGACTTGTATCAACAACAGCAAAACTTCTCACTAACTAGACTTGTATCAACAACAGCAAAACTTCTCACTAACTAGACTTGTATCAACAACAGCAAAACTTCTCACTAACTAGACTTGTATCAACAACAGCAAAACTTCTCACTAACTAGACTTGTATCAACAACAGCAAATCTTCTCACTAACTAGACTTGTATCAACAACAGCAAATCTTCTCACTAACTAGACTTGTATCAACAACAGCAAAACTTCTCACTAACTAGACTTGTATCAACAACAGCAAAACTTCTCACTAACTAGACTTGTATCAACAACAGCAAAACTTCTCACTAACTAGACTTGTATCAACAACAGCAAATCTTCTCACTAACTAGACTTGTATCAACAACAGCAAAACTTCTCACTAACTAGACTTGTATCAACAACAGCAAATCTTCTCACTAACTAGACTTGTAACAACAACAGCAAAACTTCTCACTAACTAGACTTGTATCAACAACAGCAAAACTTCTCACTAACTAGACTTGTATCAACAACAGCAAAACTTCTCACTAACTAGACTTGTATCAACAACAGCAAAACTTCTCACTAACTAGACTTGTATCAACAACAGCAAAACTTCTCACTAACTAGACTTGTATCAACAACAGCAAATCTTCTCACTAACTAGACTTGTATCAACAACAGCAAATCTTCTCACTAACTAGACTTGTATCAACAACAGCAAAACTTCTCACTAACTAGACTTGTATCAACAACAGCAAAACTTCTCACTAACTAGACTTGTATCAACAACAGCAAAACTTCTCACTAACTAGACTTGTATCAACAACAGCAAATCTTCTCACTAACTAGACTTGTATCAACAACAGCAAAACTTCTCACTAACTAGACTTGTATCAACAACAGCAAAACTTCTCACTAACTAGACTTGTATCAACAACAGCAAATCTTCTCACTAACTAGACTTGTATCAACAACAGCAAAACTTCTCACTAACTAGACTTGTATCAACAATACATTTAGCACATCTTGTAATACTGGTGTTTTATTCAACAATACATTACCCTTAATTAGCTTGTCAGCCTGTTAGAATCTAGCCCAGTGACCCCTAGCCAGCAGCTGGCCACTGGCCTTTTGGCCACTAGCCAGCTGTTGGCCACAAATTTGTTGGCCACTAGCCAGCTGTTGGTCACAAGTCTGTTAGTCACTTGGCCCCTGGTCTGTTGGCCACTGGCCTATTGGCCACTAGCCAACCGTTGGCCACAAGTCTGCTGGCCACTAGCCAACTGTTGGCCACTAGCCTGTTGGTCACTTGGCCCCTGGTCTGTTGGCCACTAGCCCATACTTACATTGTGTTCATTGGCCCCTGGTCTGTTGGCCACTAGCCCATACTTACATTGTGTTCATTGGCCCCTGGTCTGTTGGCCACTAGCCCATACTTACATTGTGTTCATTGGCTGCCTTGGTCTGTTGGCCACTAGCCCATACTTACATTGTGTTCATTGGCCCCTGGTCTGTTGGCCACTAGCCCATACTTACATTGTGTTCATTGGCCCCTGGTCTGTTGGCCACTAGCCCATACTTACATTGTGTTCATTGGCCCCTGGTCTGTTGGCCACTAGCCCATACTTACATTGTGTTCATTGGCTGCCTTGGTCTGTTGGCCACTAGCCCATACTTACATTGTGTTCATTGGCTGGTCTGTTGGCCACTGGCCCATACTTACATTGTGTTCATTGGCTGGTCTGTTGGCCACTAGCCCATACTTACATTGTGTTCATTGGCTGCCTTGGTCTGTTGGCCACTAGCCCATACTTACATTGTGTTCATTGGCTTCCCTGGCCTATTGGCCACTAGCCCATACTTACATTGTGTTCATTGGCTGCCTTGGTCTGTTGGCCACTAGCCCATACTTACATTGTGTTCATTGGCCCCTGGTCTGTTGGCCACTAGCCCATACTTACATTGTGTTCATTGGCTGCCTTGGTCTGTTGGCCACTAGCCCATACTTACATTGTGTTCATTGGCCCCTGGTCTGTTGGCCACTAGCCCATACTTACATTGTGTTCATTGGCCCCTGGTCTGTTGGCCACTAGCCCATACTTACATTGTGTTCATTGGCCCCTGGTCTGTTGGCCACTAGCCCATACTTACATTGTGTTCATTGGCTGCCTTGGTCTGTTGGCCACTAGCCCATACTTACATTGTGTTCATTGGCTGGTCTGTTGGCCACTGGCCCATACTTACATTGTGTTCATTGGCTGGTCTGTTGGCCACTAGCCCATACTTACATTGTGTTCATTGGCTGCCTTGGTCTGTTGGCCACTAGCCCATACTTACATTGTGTTCATTGGCTTCCCTGGCCTATTGGCCACTGGCCCATACTTACATTGTGTTCATTGGCCCCTGGTCTGTTGGCCACTAGCCCATACTTACATTGTGTTCATTGGCTGCCTTGGTCTGTTGGCCACTGGCCCATACTTACATTGTGTTCATTGGCTGCCTTGGTCTGTTGGCCACTAGCCCATACTTACATTGTGTTCATTGGCTTCCCTGGCCTATTGGCCACTAGCCCATACTTACATTGTGTTCATTGGCTGCCTTGGTCTGTTGGCCACTGGCCCATACTTACATTGTGTTCATTGGCTTCCCTGGCCTATTGGCCACTAGCCCATACTTACATTGTGTTCATTGGCTGCCTTGGTCTGTTGGCCACTGGCCCATACTTACATTGTGTTCATTGGCTTCCCTGGCCTATTGGCCACTGGCCCATACTTACATTGTGTTCATTGGCCCCTGGTCTGTTGGCCACTAGCCCATACTTACATTGTGTTCATTGGCTTCCCTGGCCTATTGGCCACTAGCCCATACTTACATTGTGTTCATTGGCTGCCTTGGTCTGTTGGCCACTAGCCCATACTTACATTGTGTTCATTGGCTTCCCTGGCCTATTGGCCACTAGCCCATACTTACATTGTGTTCATTGGCTGCCTTGGTCTGTTGGCCACTAGCCCATACTTACATTGTGTTCATTGGCCCCTGGTCTGTTGGCCACTAGCCCATACTTACATTGTGTTCATTGGCTGCCTTGGTCTGTTGGCCACTGGCCCATACTTACATTGTGTTCATTGGCCCCTGGTCTGTTGGCCACTAGCCCATACTTACATTGTGTTCATTGGCTTCCCTGGCCTATTGGCCACTAGCCCATACTTACATTGTGTTCATTGGCTGCCTTGGTCTGTTGGCCACTAGCCCATACTTACATTGTGTTCATTGGCCCCTGGTCTGTTGGCCACTAGCCCATACTTACATTGTGTTCATTGGCTGCCTTGGTCATGAGAACAGAAAGCTCCTCCAGCCTCTTGATCTCTGTGTTGAAGGCTCGGATGTCTTGGTCCAGTCGGTTGTGGCGGGACAGCAAGGCCTAGACAAATACACATCATCTTAACATCACTACAAGATTTGGTTTCATGTGATGTTAACATTTCTACAACATTTGGTTTCATGTGATGTTAACATTGCTACAAGATTTGGTTTCATGTGATGTTAACATTACTACAACATTTGGTTTCATGTGATGTTAACATTACTACAACATTTGGTTTCATGTGATGTTAACATTTCTACAATATTTGGTTTCATGTGATGTTAACATTTCTACAAGATTGCCATGACCTAAAGACCTGTCCACTAACTGGATTACCTGGGCACTAGCCTCATCTTTACCATAGTCATCGCTGCAGACAAGAGGCATTTTTTCTTTCATCCAGGAATCTGCTTCATCTGCATCTGCATAGTACTGGATAATTGGAGCAAATAAATCATGGGTTAACATTAAACTTTATGGTACTGGATAATTGATTTTTTTTAATGATGGGGTTAATAACATTAAAGTACTGGATGTTTGACTTTTTTTTAATGATGGGGCATTTAAGTACTGGATGTTTCAAGTCAAAGGTTTGAGCTTCAATAAATAATGTATGACACAAGGATGGAATGACATGACAAAACAACAGACTGGCATGACACAACAACAGACTGGCATGACACTGACAGACTGACATGACACTGACAGACTGACATGACACTGACAGACTGACATGACAGGTGACACACCTGCTGGGCCTCAATAGCATCCTCCAATCTTGTTTTTCTGGCAGTAGCTGCGTCTTGCAGCTGGTTCCATTTGTCCATTAAAGATTTGATCCTGGAGCCAATCTCTGACCGGGCTGGATGGCCTTGGTTGACCAAGTCTTGACCAGTGGCACATATCTGCTCACACCTGCGCCATCTGCCTTGCATTTCAGCTTCCAGAGCCTAAGAGAATCAAGATAACATGATATTTCAGCTTCCAGAGCCTAAGTGAAGTAAGGTGACCACATGGTATTTGAGATTTCAGAGTCTAAGTGAAGTAAGGTGACCACATGGTATTTGAGAGCCTAAGTGAAGTAAGGTGACCACATGGTATTTGAGATTTCAGAGTCTAAGTGAAGTAAGGTGACCACATGGTATTTGAGAGCCTAAGTGAAGTAAGGTGACCACATGGTATTTGAGAGCCTAAGTGAACTTGCCTCATGTTTCTTTAAGAGAAGAAGTCCAGCGTTCAGGTCCTTCCCAACGTTGGTGGACCTGACCTCCTCCAGTTTCTCAGCTGCCCACCTCTCCTCCTGCTCCGTGTCCTCCAGAAACTGGTAGTAACGTTTGGCTGTCTCCAACTTGACTTTCTTCTCGTTGATTAAAGCTTGCACCCTGGAGGTAGACAAATTACAACCAAAATCAACTGGCTAAATTCTTGCTTCAATCACCATCTTAACATGGCTAAATTCTTGCTTCAAGCACGATCTTAACATGGCTAAATTCTTGCTTCAATCACCCAAATATTACATGGCCTAATTCTTGTTCAATCACCCAAATATTACATGGCTAAATTATTGTTTAATCACCCAAATATTACCTAGCAAATTCTTGCTTCAATCACCCAAATATTACCTGGCCAAATGTTTAAGCCATCCCAAATATTACCTGGCCAAATTCTTGTTTAAGCCATCCCAAATATTACCTGGCCAAATTCTTGTTTAAGCCATCCCAAATATTACCTGGCCAAATTCTTGTTTAAGCCATCCCAAATATTACCTGGCCAAATTCTTGTTCAAGCCATCTAACTTATTGTCCAGATGTTGAGCCTCAGCTTGACCAGCCTCGCCATACTGAGATGACCGTCTGTTGAGCCGACCAATCCTGAGTGTCAGGGCCTGCAGCTGAGCCTCTTGGAGGGCCAGTTTCTGCAGGAGATCCTCAGTGGCTTGTAGGTGTTTGGGCTGGTCATCAGACTTGACTCGAGCCTACACAAGATATACAGTCAATAGAGGCAATCATCAGACTTGACTCTAGCCTACACAAGAAATACAGACAGTCAATAGAGGGATCAGACTTGACTCTAGCCTACACAAGATATACAGACAGTCAATAGAGGCATCAGACTTGACTCTAGCCTACCCAAGATATACAGAGGCAATCATCAGACTTGACTCTAGCCTACACAAGATATACAGACAGTCAATAGAGGCATCAGACTTGACTCTAGCCTACACAAGATATACAGACAGTCAATAGAGGTAATCATCAGACTTGACTCTAGCCTACACAAGAAATACAGACAGTCAATAGAGGCAATCATCAGACTTGACTCTAGCCTACACAAGATATACAGAGGCAATCATCAGACTTGACTCTAGCCTACACAAGATATACAGACAGTCAATAGAGGCAATCATCAGACTTGACTCTAGCCTACACAAGAAATACAGACAATAGAGACAATCATCAGACTTGACTCTAGCCTACACAAGATATACAGACAGTCAATAGAGGCATCAGACTTGACTCTAGCCTACACAAGATATACAGAGGCAATCATCAGACTTGACTCTAGCCTACACAAGATATACAGACAGTCAATAGAGGCATCAGACTTGACTCTAGCCTACACAAGATATACAGACAGTCAATAGAGGTAATCATCAGACTTGACTCTAGCCTACACAAGAAATACAGACAGTCAATAGAGGCAATCATCAGACTTGACTCTAGCCTACACAAGATATACAGAGGCAATCATCAGACTTGACTCTAGCCTACACAAGATATACAGACAGTCAATAGAGGCAATCATCAGACTTGACTCTAGCCTACACAAGAAATACAGTCAATAGAGACAATCATCAGACTTGACTCTAGCCTACACAAGATATACAGACAGTCAATAGAGACAATCATCAGACTTGACTCTAGCCTACACAAGAAATACAGACAATAGAGACAATCATCAGACTTGACTCTAGCCTACACAAGATATACAGACAGTCAATAGAGACAATCATCAGACTTGACTCTAGCCTACACAAGATATACAGACAGTCAATAGAGGTAATCATCAGACTTGACTCTAGCCTACACCAGAAATACAGACAGTCAATAGAGGCAATCATCAGACTTGACTCTAGCCTACATAAGATATACAGAGGCAATCATCAGACTTGACTCTAGCCTACACCAGAAATACAGTCAATAGAGGCAATCATCAGACTTGACTCTAGCCTACATAAGATATACAGACAGTCAATAGAGGCAATCATCAGACTTGACTCTAGCCTACATAAGATATACAGACAGTCAATAGAGGCAATCATCAGACTTGACTCTAGCCTACACAAGATATACAGAGGCAATCATCAGACTTGACTCTAGCCTACATCAGAAATACAATCAGTAGTTGCAATCTTGATGATTAGGGAATTAGCATACCTAGCCAGTGTACATTACAAACCAAACCTACCAAACCTATCACAACCCTACCAAACATATCGCATCCCTACCAAACCTATCACATTGCTACCAAACCTATCACATTGCTACCAAACCTATCACAACCCTACCAAACCTATCATAACCTACCAAACCTATCACATTGCTACCAAACCTATCCCAACCTACCAAACCTATCACAAACCTACCTCCACCTCCAGCAGTTCCTCTGTGATACTCTCTATCTCCCTGAACATGGCCATCAGATTGTTGAAGCCTGACAGAGTTGCCTTCCTTGAGTCCAGCTTGTCCAGTAGTGCCTTCCATCTCCTCATCACCTCCTGGTCCCTGGGGGAGGGGGGATATAAGGAGTCACATATCAGAGGGGAGGGGGATATAAGGAGTCACATATCAGAGGGGAGGGGGATATAAGGAGTCACATATTAGAGGGGAGGGGGATATAAGGAGTCACATATCAGAGGGGAGGGGGATATAAGGAGTCACATATCAGAGGGGAGGGGGATATAAGGAGTCACATATCAGAGGGGAGGGGATATAAGGAGTCACATATCAGAGGGGAGGGGGAGTCACATATCAGAGGGGAGGGGGGTATAAGGAGTCACATATCAGAGGGGAGGGGGATATAAGGAGTCACATATCAGAGGGGAGGGGGAGTCACATATCAGAGGGGAGGGGGATATAAGGAGTCACATATCAGAGGGGAGGGGATATAAGGAGTCACATATCAGAGGGGAGGGGGAGTCACATATCAGAGGGGAGGGGGGTATAAGGAGTCACATATCAGAGGGGAGGGGGATATAAGGAGTCACATATCAGAGGGGAGGGGGATATAAGGAGTCACATATCAGAGCGGAGGGGGAGTCACATATCAGAGGGGAGGGGGAGTCACATATCAGAGGGGAGGGGGATATAAGGAGTCACATATCAGAGGGGAGGGGGATATAAGGAGTCACATATCAGAGGGGAGGGGGGATATAAGGAGTCACATATCTAAGGGGAGGGGGGATATAAGGAGTCACATATCAGAGGGGAGGGGGATATAAGGAGTCAGATATCAGAGGGGAGGGGGATATAAGGAGTCAGATATCAGAGGGGAGGGGGATATAAGGAGTCACATATCAGAGGGGAGGGGGATATAAGGAGTCACATATCAGAGGGGAGGGGGAGTCACATATCAGAGTGGAGGGGGATATAAGGAGTCACATATCAGAGGGGAGGGGGATATAAGGAGTCACATATCAGAGGGGAGGGGGAGTCACATATCAGAGTGGAGGGGGATATAAGGAGTCACATATCAGAGTGGAGGGGGATATAAGGAGTCACATATCAGAGGGGAGGGGGATATAAGGAGTCACATATCAGAGTGGAGGGGGATATAAGGAGTCACATATCAGAGTGGAGGGGGATATAAGGAGTCACATATCAGAGGGGAGGGGGATATAAGGAGTCAGATATCAGAGGGGAGGGGGATATAAGGAGTCACATATCAGAGGGGAGGGGGATATAAGGAGTCAGTTATCAGAGGGGAGGGGGATATAAGGAGTCACATATCAGAGGGGAGGGGGATATAAGGAGTCACATATCAGAGGGGAGGGGGAGTCACATATCAGAGGGGAGAGGGATATAAGGAGTCACATATCAGAGGGGAGGGGGGTATAAGGAGTCACATATCAGAGGGGAGGGGGATATAAGGAGTCACATATCAGAGGGGAGGGGGATATAAGGAGTCACATATCAGAGGGGAGGGGGATATAAGGAGTCACATATCAGAGGGGAGGGGTGGGTTGACATGGCCGTATTCTCATGTAACGGATGATGTACCATGAACTAAACGTATATGGGGTTAGACCTGACTGGACAGACAAAGAGATCTGAATTTGATGGAATTAAAGCCATAGTGATGTTGGCGAGCTAGCCAAAGGTTCAAAACACTGGACAATAAAGTTGGCGAGCTAGCCAAAGGTTCAAAACACTGGACAATAAATTTAACACACCTGTCCTTCACCTTGTCTTTGGCCCTGAAGTTGCCTTGAACCAGTTCATTGGCCAGACTATTCAGAGCACGGAACCTGTCTTTCTGTTGAGGGAGATCAAATAGTTTTAGTTTGGGGACTATTTACAGTAGATAAGTTTATCTTTCAGGGAACTATTTACAGTAGATAAGTTTATCTTTCAGGGAACTATTTACAGTAGATAAGTTTATCTTTCTGTTCAGTGAACTAGTTACTGTAAGTTTCAATCACAAATAATACAGAGGATATTTAATTTTTAGACAGAGATAATACTTTTTAAAGATAAGCCAACAAAAGACAACCTACTCTGGCCAGGATTTCAGCACTGATTGCCTCGTGTTTTTTTACTGCTGCTTCTGTCTGTGCAGCATTGCTACAAACAATGTTTTCTTGTAGAATTTGCTCCATGTCAGTCAACCAGCTTTCTCTGATGGTCGCCTGTTAAAATAAACACTCAAACTTATTTTACAACTACAAACTCAATACATTTTTAGTGGGTTTTTTAAAAATCTAAAATGGCAACCTCACTTTGATTACTAAATCTAAAACCGCAACCTTTCTTTGTTTACTAAATCTAAAATAGCAACTTAATTTGTTTACTAAATCTAAAATAGCAACTTTATTTGTTTACTAAATCTAAAATAACAACTTTATTTGTTTACTAAATCTAAAATAGCAACTTTATTTGTTTACTAAATCTAAAATAGCAACCTATCATTGTTTACTAAATCTAAAATAGCAACCTATCATTGTTTACTAAATCTAAAATAGCAACCTATCATTGTTTACTAAATCTAAAATAGCAACCTATCATTATTTACTAAATCTAAAATAGCAACCTATCATTGTTTACTAAATCTAAAATAGCAACCTATCATTATTTACTAAATCTAAAATAGCAACCTATCATTGTTTACTAAATCTAAAATAGCAACCTATCATTGTTTACTAAATCTAAAATAGCAACTTTATTTGTTTACTAAATCTAAAATAGCAACTTTCTTTGTTTACTAAATCTAAAATAGCAACTTTATTTGTTTACTAAATCTAAAATAGCAACCTATCATTATTTACTAAATCTAAAATAGCAACCTATCATTATTTACTAAATCTAAAATAGCAACCTTTCTTTGTTTACTAAATCTAAAATAGCAACCTATCATTGTTTACTAAATCTAAAATAGCAACCTTTCTTTGTTTACTAAATCTAAAATAGCAACCTATCATTGTTTACTAAATCTAAAATAGCAACCTTTCTTTGAAAGCGCCTGGCCAACTGTTCCAGCCTCTCCTGCCTGATGAGCTCGTCCTTGAGAGCCACCTCCCTCCCATGCTCACATTTCTCCAGCTGCATCCAGGCTGTCTCGATGTCGTGGATGAGCATGCCCTCTGGTGGCAGGTATTGTTTTTGTCCATTGGCTTTCAAACGGGCCTGAACATTAAAGTACTGGACTTCAACATTACCTCTCTCACGATATCTGTAATAAAGGAAACAATAATTTCAACTGACACCCAACTATTTATGTCATCAACTTTGGCTATGAAATTAACATATAGCCTATCATAAAAATAAGAAAATAATACATGCATTCTTTCATTAAATTTATAAATGACTAAAATATTTAAAACTTTATTTTTTATTTCTTTTCTAATTTTAGTAATTCGGAATTTTAAAAACTAAATATAGCTAATCAATGTTGTAGTGTTTAAAATCATTGGTAGAGTATTTATTTTTTCCCATCCCTATTACTCTGAATTAAGTCAACATACCTACATAATTTTTTTTTTTTGCTGTAAAACCCTATCAGTAGCTTTTGATCTTAAGTCTAGAAGACAGTTATCTCCCCTATCTGTGGTTGGTTCTCAGATGTGAAAACTTACCACAACATACTTTCCACTACTGTTTAATGACTAATTTTATGTTAAACAAGATTGAAAATAGATAATTTTGTGTTATCAGAAACAAATTATCTGGAAAAAAGGTTGAATCCCCTACATTAGATATGGATCAAAACTGAGTAACAAGATTTGCTGACAGACCCACAAACCCCCTACTAGACCCCAGTGTTTCTTCCAGACTTTTTTCTCAGGGGGGGTACTTGAAATTTTTGTGGGGGCGGTAGACTTTCTTCGGGGGGGGGGGGGGGGGCAGACACTGTTAAAAGTATATATTTTCTATATAAATTACATAAATTACATTTCGTTCGGGGGGGGGGGGGGCGGTAAAAAAATTTCGGGGCAAAGCCCCCCCGAAGAGATGCCTGGAAGAAACTCTGCTAGACCCCCAGACATTGTGAACTAGGTAAAAGCTTGTATAACTATCAAATATTTTATTAGCTATGAATAATATCAAATATATTTGATATATATTTCTGCAAGAAATTAACAAAACACCAAGTAGAATTGGATTGACCAGCTATCTCTACAAGCAATCAGCTGATAAAGATCCTGGAATTTTAATTATTCAGCTCAATAAGAACATTTACAATCCTATTTAAGCGAGAATGTGTTACAAGTTTTGGTGGTTTCTCTACTGTGTTACTAGGATTGAAAGGCTTACTTTGGTGGTTTCTCTACTGTGTAACTAGGATTGAAAGGCTTACTTTGGTGGTTTCTCTACTGTGTTACTAGGATTGAGAGGCTTACTTTGGTGGTTTCTCTACTGTGTTACTAGGATTGAGAGGCTTACTTTGGTGGTTTCTCTACTGTGTTACTAGGATTGAGAGGCTTACTTTGGTGGTTTCTCTACTGTGTTACTAGGATTGAGAGGCTTACTTTGGTGGTTTCTCTACTGTGTTACTAGGATTGAGAGGCTTACTTTGGTGGTTTCTCTACTGTGTTACTAGGATTGAGAGGCTTACTTTGGTGGTTTCTCTACTGTGTTACTAGGATTGAGAGGCTTACTTTGGTGGTTTCTCTACTGTCATGTAGTCCTTAAATGCGATCAACTCTTTCTGTATGCCCTCCAGAGAGTTGGGGAAATCCCGATTGTTCAGTGATTTAATCTTCTCTCTGATCCAGGCCAAAAGGTTGGAGGTCAGACTTTCATAATCATCTTGCATCTTCTGGACATCTCTCATCATGCCAACAATCTGGACAGCAAATTAAATAGCAGTGGTTAAACAATATGGACAGCAAATTAACAGCAGTGGTGAATAATCATTGAGTTTGATTACATTATCACAAAACATTTACACATTAGTTATGATGTTTGCAAGAATGTATTAAACACATTTTTTTCCCTTTTGTTACAATAAAATTTGCTAATAGCAATAAGCAGCTTAGTGAAGAAGTAAGCAACCAAAGGAGTACTTATACATTTGCTATAACTGACTGGAGTAAACAGACTAGACTAGTTTCCCTGGTGACATTTTGAAGCCTGATGATATTTTGTAGACAGACTATGTTCAGTTACAGAGGTGTCATTTTGAAGCCTGATGATATTTTGTAGACAGACTATGTTCAGTTACAGAGGTGACATTTTGAAGCCTGATGATATTCACCTTAGCAATCCTCTTTCCTCCAGTCATCTCACTCTTCATTTTAGCAAAGTAGTGGTAGTAGGAGGCGACGTACGTGACGATAATCTTTTCATCTGGGCGGTTGACATCAACATCTGCAAGAAATACATAGATAAGCATAGTCAGAAACGTAAATGTTAATATATAAACAAGCCCATATAGAGAAATCTATATACAGAAACCCATGTAAAGAGACCCATATAAATGGACCCATACACAGACCCACATACACAGACCCACATACACAGACCCACATAATTTGACCCAAATAAAGGGACATAAGTTTACAAACCCATATTAGCAGACCCATGTTAACACCCTCTTAAAACATGACAACAAAAAATGACCACAGTAAACTGACCTTCAGTACATCAAATGACCACAGTAAACTGACCTTCAGTACATCAAATTACCACAGTAAACTGACCTTCAAATGCCCACAGTAAACTGACCTTCAGTACATCAAATGCCCACAGTAAACTGACCTTCAGTACATCAAATGACCACAGTAAACTGACCTTCAGTACATCAAATTACCACAGTAAACTGACCTTCAGTACATGAAATGACCACAGTAAACTGACCTTCAAATGCCCACAGTAAACTGACCTTCAGTACATCAAATGCCCACAGTAAACTGACCTTCAGTACATCAAATGCCCACAGTAAACTGACCTTCAGTACATCAAATGACCACAGTAAACTGACCTTCAAATGACCACAGTAAACGACCTTCAAATGCCCACAGTAAACTGACCTTCAAATGACCACAGTAAACTGACCTTCAGCATCCAGGATCTTTGGAATACCCAGCTGTTTATCTGCCACATCAAATGCATTGTTCAGGTTCCCCATGTGGTCAGCAGGGTCAAGGCCATTGTAGTTAATTATGTCAGGTCTGCCAATTAAGAAAAACGTTTTTTTAAAAGGGTGAGGCAAGTAATACAATAATTATGGCTGCTGTCTTAAGTGTCAAGTATGGCTGCTAGCTGTGTTTAGTGTCAAGTATGGCTGCTAGCTGTGTTTAGTGTCAAGTATGGCTGCTAGCTGTGTTTAAGGTCAAGTATGGCTGCTAGCTGTGTTTAGTGTCAAGTATGGCTGCTAGCTGTCTGTCAGGTATGGCTGCTGTCTGTCAAGTATGGCTATAGTGTGTACCTGTGAGCATGAATGAGGGCATTAAATCCCAGTCCATTTCTCCAGCTTGTGGTAAAGTTGGTGATGTTGACACCTGGATACCTGGGAAATATTAACAAGGTATTAGAACAGGTTTAACCAGCAAAATGAAAGCTTTCACATTTTTCTTTTACCTTGAGTAGTGTTTAGGTATATCAAACGCATTTTTTTCCATTGGGTCTACAGAATGTAAACAATCCCACCAAAACAAGAAATGTTTGCTCAAGTTCATCTGGACAAATACAAGCTACAGCCAACAAGATGGGGTAGGACGGACTGAAGGCTCATTAAAAATGGATGACCGCAGACAAGATGTATTGATTGCAGGGGAGACCAACAGGTTTAATCATCATCAGGGGAGACCAACAGGTTTAATCATCATCAGGGGAGACCAACAGGTTTAATCATCAGGGGAGACCAACAGGTTTACAGGGGAGACCAACAGGTTTACAGGGGAGACCAACAGGTTTAATCATCAGGGGAGACCAACAGGTTTACAGGGGAGACCAACAGGTTTACAGGGGAGACCAACAGGTTTACAGGGGAGACCAACAGGTTTAATCATCAGGGGAGACCAACAGGTTTACTCATCATCAGGGGAGACCAACAGGTTTAATCATCAGGGGAGACCAACAGGTTTACTCATCATCAGGGGAGACCAACAGGTTTAATCATCATCAGGGGAGACCAACAGGTTTACAGGGAAGACCAACAGGTTTACAGGGGAGACCAACAGGTTTAATCATCAGAGGAGAACAGTTATTTTATTTCTGCCAATTGATGAATGTGGCTACATGGTGATGTAGTACAACATCACATGCTACATGGTGATGTAGTACAACATCACAAGCTACATGGTGATGTAGTACAACATCACAAGCTACATGGTGATGTAGTACAACATCACAAGCTACATGGTGATGTAGTACAACATCACAAGCTACATGGTGATGTAGTACAACATCACAAGCTACATGGTGATGTAGTACAACATCACAAGCTACATGGTGATGTAGTACAACATCACATGGTGATGTGGGCGAATAAAAATGGGAACAAAGACTTATCTCAAGACGTGGTCACTAACATTATTTGGACACAGCAACACCAGAGCGATAAGACAAGTGTAACAGACGACAAAACAAGTGTAACAGACGAGTCTGAAAAAGTGTGGGAGGGAACAAAGGCGAGCTGTGTAGAATGGACAACAAGTTGACCACAAGTTGACCATGGCCAAACATTAGACACTAGAGCAGAGGTAACCTTAAAGCAACATTTGGCTTGCTATTCCAATTGGGGCAGCAGCTAGCAAACACTGCACCTCCATTTAGACATTTAAACTGGCAATTGTTTCTATTTAAACACCTCATTGGCCGCAAGTGGGGGGACACCTTTTTTTTTACCTGGGCAACAATTCATTAATCTTTTAGGCTAACAATGGAACAGATGCCTAGCATACCCAGGGCAGATTTGAAGCAGATTTGAAATGTGCTGGCTGGCAGATTGTAAGCATAACTAACATTTTGAAAATGGTTCAGGCCATATTGTAATAAACTTTTGAACAGGTTATAAATAACTCGGATCGACATCAAGATAACAGGAAGCTATTTATAGAAAAGGGAATCTAAGGAGAAATATCTGACATAACTTTCCAATGTGTGTCAGACAAAGTGACACGGTACACATAGATATCCAAAATAAATACTGAGTCACGCAAAGTCTGGCAACAGGAAATACCTGGCACATGTTTGTTAAATAGCGCAACACACGGTTCTTACGCCACTAGTAGATAGTATCATCAGTAAATAAAGGACAATGAGAAAATGGTCATCAACAGCTCAGTGGGCTGACCATCTACACGTCAGTGAGGGACTTACCCAGGGCTGACCATCTACACGTCAGTGAGGGACTTACCCAGGGCTGACCATCTACACGTCAGTGAGGGACTTACCCAGGGCTGACCATCTACACGTCAGTGAGGGACTTACCCAGGGCTGACCATCTACACGTCAGTGAGGGACTTACCCAGGGCTGACCATCTGCACGTCAGTGAGGGACTTACCCAGGGCTGACCATCTACACGTCAGTGAGGGACTTACCCAGGGCTGACCATCTACACGTCAGTGAGGGACTTACCCAGGGCTGACCATCTACACGTCAGTGAGGGACTTACCCAGGGCTGACCATCTACAGTGAGGGACTTACCCAGGGCTGACCATCTACACGTCAGTGAGGGACTTACCCAGGGCTGACCATCTACACGTCAGTGAGGGACTTACCCAGGGCTGACCATCTACACGTCAGTGAGGGACTGACCACCTACACGCCATGAGGGACTGACCATCTACACGTCAGTGAAGGACTTACCCAGGGCTGACCATCTACACGTCAGTGAGGGACTGACCACCTACACGCCATGAGGGACTGACCATCTACAGGTCAGTGAGGGACTTACCCAGCAGTTTTTCTCTGGCACCACAACAACAAGGCATCCTTGGCTGATCGCTTCTCACTATCCTCATGCTCTTCATCCTGTGGACAGTGGTCAAGTTTAGCTGGACAAAGGTCAAGTTTAGCTGAACAAAGGTCAAGTTTAGCTGAACAAAGGTTAAGTTTAACTGGACAGTGGTAAAGTTTAACAGATAACAAGTTTAGCTGGGCAGTGGTCAAGTTTAAGAGATGTCAAGTTTACTAGGGCAGTGGTCAAGTTTAACAGATCAGTGGTCAAATTTACCAGCTGTTACGTTTAGCAGGGCAGTGGTCAAGTGTAGCAGGGCAGTGGTCAAGAGTAGCAGAAGAAAGAGCATACAGAGCAAACCATAACAAGTGTTTACCACATCAATGATGATCTCCTGGATCTGAAAGCGGAGGATGATGGTCCAGATCAAGCCGAGTATCAACCTCGGGTTGCCGTCCACAATGTCTTCAGCGCCAATGTTTTCAAAGTACACCTGCGGAAATACGGAAATACGTTAAAGGACACACCACTACACGACACGCTGCTACACGACACACTACTACACGACACACTGCTACACGACACACTACTACAAGACACACGACTACAAGACATACTATACACGACACACAACTACACGACACACAACTACACGACACACAACTACACGACACACAACTACACGACACACAACTACACGACACACAACTACACGACACACTGCTACACGACACACTGCTACACGACACACTACTACAAGACATACTACACACGACACACAACTACACGACACACTTCTACACGACACACTTCTACACGACACACTTCTACACGACACACAGCTACACGACACACAGCTACATGACACACTACTACAAGACATACTACTACACGACACACTACTACACGACACACAGCTACACGACACACAGCTACACGACACACTACTACACGACACACTACTACACGACACACTACTACACGACACACTTCTACACGACACACTACTACACGACACACTACTACACGACACACTTCTACACGACACACTTCTACACGACACACTACTACACGACACACTACTACACGACACACTACTACACGACACACTACTACACGACACACTACTACAGGACACACTACTACAGGACACACAACTACAGGACACACAACTACACGACACACAGCTACACGACACACAACTACACGACACACTTCTACACGACACACTACTACAGGACACACTGCTACACGACACACTACTACAAGACACACTACTACAAGACATACTACACACGACACACAACTACACGACACACAACTACACGACACACTTCTACATGACACACTTCTATACGACACACTACTACACGACACACAGCTACACGACACACAGCTACATGACACACTACTACAAGACAGACTACTACACGACACACTGCTACACGACACACAGCTACACGACACACAGCTACACGACACACTACTACACGACACACTTCTACACGACACACTTCTACACGACACTCTTCTACACGACACACTACTACACGACACACTACTACACGACACACTACTACAGGACACACTACTACAGGACACACAACTACACGACACACAGCTACACGACACACAGCTACACAACACACAGCTACACGACACACTACTACACGACACACTACTACAAGACACACAACTACACGACACACAACTACAGGACACACTACTACACGACACACTACTACACGACACACTACTACACGACACACTACTACACGACACACTATTACACGACACACTACTACACGACACACTACTACAGGACACACTACTACACGACACACTACTACACGAGACACTACAGGACACACTACTACACGAGACACTACTACAGAACACACTACTACACGACACACTACTACACGAGACACTACAGGACACACTACTACACGAGACACTACTACAGAACACACTACTACACGAGACACTACTACAGGACACACTACTACACGAGACACTACTACAGGACACACTACTACACGAGACTCTACTACAGGACACACTACTACAAGACATACTACTACAAGACACTACTACACGACACAATACTACACGACACAATACTACACGACAGAATACTACACGACATACTACACACGACAACCTAAAATAGACATGTGAAGCCGGTCACTTCTTGCCCTCCCACACTCCACTCCCCCACACACACACTCCACTCCCACACACCCCTCCCACACACACCCCTCCCACACACACCCCTCCCCCACACACCCCTCCCCCACACACCCCGCCTTACCTTGGTGGCTAGAAACTTGAGGCACCTGTTAAGGTTCTCCACCTTCTGTACACGCAGCAGACCTTTGTTGGGCTTGCCCAGGTTTTCACCTGAGATGATCTCTAGCAGTTTCATCAACATCTTCCCGTCGGCCAGGTCTGTGAACAGGTCCCTGATCTCCATCCGTACCTGGGGACAAGGCCAATGTTTCACTTGTTTTTTACCTCATTCATTTGGTGCCCAACTTGGGGCTCAGTTCGGTGCATAATTATGCAAATCTAACGGGCAGCAGAGTAGAGGCTGCTAGACATACGGTGTTGGCACTTGTCAATCACTTCCTATTACAAGCAAGAAACCCGGTGTAAACGAAACCAAGTTGATAAATTGTGCGGTCGTGCCATTGTAACTCTCCCCTGACATCGACGACCAGTTCTGTACTAGCATTAACAACAATGCTTTTGTTGACGTCTGATAGAGGCGTCTCACTCTTTAATGAGATATTGATAGAACGGGTGGTAAGCAAAGTAAGCTCATTCTAACTTTTTAATGCCATCTAACATTTTGGGAATGTAAAGACAGATGAAATGTAGCGACGTTAGGAATGTAGCGACGTTAGGAATTTAGCGACGTTAGGAATGTAGCGACGTTAGGAATGTAGCGACGTTAGGAATGTAGCGACGTTAGGAATTTAGCGACGTTAGGAATGTAGCGACGTTAGGAATGTAGCGACGTTAGGAATGTAGCGACGTTAGGAATTTAGCGACGTTAGGAATGTACAGACGTTAGGAATTTAGCGACGTTAGGAATGTAGCGACGTTAGGAATGTAGCGACGTTAGGAATGTAGCGACGTTAGGAATTTAGCGACGTTAGGAATGTAGCGACGTTAGGAATGTAGCGACGTTAGGAATGTAGCGACGTTAGGAATGTAGAGACGTTAGGAATTTAGCGACGTTAGGAATGTAGCGACGTTGGAAATGTAACGACGTTGGAAATATAGCAAAACGTGTCGCACAAAGTTAACTATATAAGTTAAGATACAAGAAATTCGATCTCTAGATTGTGTGCTGTGAGACACGTGAAAGTAGGTAGGACACTTGACTCAAGTGGTTTGAGATATTTGGTATCGGATCTACCCGTTACACGCTGGGTTAGCGACTTGAAATACAATGTTCTGATTGCTGGGGTAGATGTGTCATACACTTGAACGTTCTTGACTTTCACCGGACATCTTGGGGGATGTTTAGAGCATCAATAGAGTCAGTGTTTCTTCCAGACTTTTTTCTCGAGGGGGTGGGTGGGGGAGGGGGGCACTTGACATTTTCGTCCATTTCGTGGGAGGGGGGGGGCAGTAGACTCTCTTCGTGTGGGCTCCGCCCCCTCACAAAACACTGTGCCATAAACGTATCCACATCGCCCCTAAAGTCTGATTAAAATTTATTCACTGCCCTATAGATCAAGTTCAACTTGACTTAATCCTTTATCACTGAGACTTTTTTTCTCAGAAAAAAAACATCAAGATAACACGTGATTAACTCCATGCAGTGTGGAGGGGGTGGGGCATAAAGGAATATTAATTTAGAAGACGTTTGGTATAAAAGGTAATATAGACAATACTAGAATCATCTTGCCGTCAGGCTAATGGTGGATGTTGTCGTCAGGCTTATGGTGGATGTTGCCGTGAGCTCATGGTGAATGTTGCCGCTAGGCTCATGGTGAATGTTGCCGTTCACTTCTTGGTATGGGCGCCACAAATGTGTTCATGTCTGACAAGCGACAACAGCAGGTAAGACCAAATAACGGCAGACAAACACAGGCTGGCAGACGTCAGCTATCGACCAGGTAGGGACAGGTAACGACCAGATGCCGGCTGGAGAAACGTTGTGACATCGATCTGATCGTCTGATCGATTAGCGTTCGCTGACAAATCAACTGCTCGTGTGTACCCACATTTCACTGATCGAACTTGTTCAACTCAACCACACCAAGTCATAACCACACCAACCATAGTTACAACCACACCAAGTCACAACCACACCAACTCCAGTTACAACCAAACCAACGCCAGTCAAAAACACACTAACCCCAATAGACTTCCCCTCCCGTCCCCACCCAAGTAACAAAGCAAGAGGGAGTAAAACCACATCCAGATGTAGTAGAGCCACATCAAGTGGGAGTAGAGCCACATCCAGAGGGAGTAGAGCCACATCAAGTGGGAGTAGAACCACATCCAGATGGAGTAGAGCCACATCAAGTGGGAGTAGAGCCACATCAAGTGGGAGTAGAGCCACATCAAGTGGGAGTAGAGCCACATCCAGAGGGAGTAGAGCCACATCAAGTGGGAGTAGAGCCACATCACGTGGGAGCCACATCCAGAGGGAGTAGAGCCACATCCAGAGGGAGTAGAGCCACATCCAGAGGGAGTAGAGACACATCTAGAGGGAGTAGAGCCACATCAAGTGGGAGTAGAGCCACATCAAGTGGGAGTAGAGCCACATCAAGTGGGAGTAGAGCCACATCAAGTGGGAGCCACATCAAGTGGGAGTAGAGCCACATCAAGTGGGAGTAGAGCCACATCAAGTGGGAGTAGAGCCACATCAAGTGGGAGCCACATCAAGTGGGAGTAGAGCCACATCAAGTGGGAGTAGAGCCACATCAAGTGGGAGTAGAGCCACATCAAGTGGGAGTAGAGCCACATCAAGTGGGAGTAGAGCCACATCCAGATGGAGAAGAGCCACATCAAGTGGGAGTAGAGCCACATCAAGTGGGAGTAGAGCCACATCAAGTGGGAGTAGAGCCACATCCAGATGGAGTAGAGCCACATCAAGTGGGAGTAGAGCCACATCAAGTGGGAGTAGAGCCACATCAAGTGGGAGTAGAGCCACATCAAGTGGGAGTAGAGCCACATCAAGTGGGAGTAGAGCCACATCAAGTGGGAGTAGAGCCACATCAAGTGGGAGTAGAGCCACATCAAGTGGGAGTAGAGCCACATCAAGTGGGAGTAGAGCCACATCCAGATGGAGAAGAGCCACATCAAGTGGGAGTAGAGCCACATCAAGTGGGAGTAGAGCCACATCAAGTGGGAGTAGAGCCACATCCAGATGGAGTAGAGCCACATCAAGTGGGAGTAGAGCCACATCAAGTGGGAGTAGAGCCACATCAAGTGGGAGTAGAGCCACATCAAGTGGGAGTAGAGCCACATCAAGTGGGAGTAGAGCCACATCAAGTGGGAGTAGAGCCACATCAAGTGGGAGTAGAGCCACATCAAGTGGGAGTAGAGCCACATCAAGTGGGAGTAGAGCCACATCCAGATGGAGTAGAGCCACATCAAGTGGGAGTAGAGCCACATCAAGTGGGAGTAGAGCCACATCCAGAGGGAGTAGAGCCACATCAAGTGGGAGTAGAGCCACATCAAGTGGGAGTAGAGCCACATCAAGTGGGAGCCACATCCAGAGGGAGTAGAACCACATCCAGAGGGAGTAGAGCCACATCCAGAGGGAGTAGAGACACATCTAGAGGGAGTAGAGCCACATCAAGTGGGAGCCACATCCAGAGGGAGTAGAGCCACATCCAGAGGGAGTAGAGCCACATCCAGAGGGAGTAGAGCCACTATGGAGCAGCACGAAGCTCCTGTCCTCCTGTTGTCTGATACTGTTTGACAACATTACTGCCTGTTGTCTGATACTGTTTGACAACATTCCTATCTGTTGTCTGATACTGTTTGACAACATTACTGCCTGTTGTCTGATATTGTTTGACAACATTCCTGTCTGTTGTCTGATATTGTTTGACAACATTCCTGTCTGTTGTCTGATATTGTTTGACAACATTCCTGCCTGTTGTCTGATACTGTTTGACAACATTCCTGCCTGATGACGGCAGTCACACCGGCGTGTGGTCGATCGATGATTTCGTTGGATCGAACGGCGAGACACCCAATGTGTGAGGGATGGTCACCTAGACACGCAATGTGTGGGGGTTGTTCACCTAGACACGCAATGTGTGAGGGATGGTCACCTAGACACGCAATGTGTGGGGCAATGTGTGGGGGATGTTCACCTTCTGGTACTGCCTCTAGCTTTAGAGCCCTTGTTAATTTAAAATAAATTTTAGTTGTTCAGTGTGTCACTACCACATCAGTCAGTCATGTATCTATCTACAAACACCTCATGCCCCCCCCCCCCCCCCCCAACAAGGTAAAAATAGATGGAAAATTACTGTTGGACAAAAATAGATGAGAATTAGTGGTCGCTACCAGCTGTTTTCAATGATCCCGGCTTAATAGTTGATCTCTATAAGTAGGTATGTGTGTGTGTGTGTATGTGTGTGTGTGTGTGTGTAAGCGATGGGGGCTGGTGTCACGTGACTTGGTCAGTTAGCCACGTCTGCTGTCTGTCACTAACAGCATAAAGTGTCCGTATGACAACAACTTGGGGACGGAGATGGGGGGGGGGGGGGAGAGTTAAGAAAACAACAAGGACTTTGGGGGGGGGGGGGGAGTTAAGAAAACAAGGACTTTAAAAAACCTGAAGAACAAGTTTTGTGGACCAGTGGTTTGACTCAAGGGGTTGGCTACAGCATCGGCATAGCACGTCGGTACAACACATCGGTACAACATCACGTGTCGGTACAACAACACACATCGGTACAACATCACACGTAGGTACAACACGTAGGTACAACACGTCGGTACAACAACACACGTCGGTACAACACGTCGGTACAACAACACACATCGGTACAACAACACACGTCAGTACAACAACACACGTCGGTACAACACGTAGGTACAACAACACACGTCGGTACAACACGTCGGTACAACAACACACATCGGCACAACAACACACGTCAGTACAACAACACACGTCGGTACAACACGTAGGTACAACAACACACGTCGGTACAACACGTCGGTACAACAACACACGTCGATACAACAACACACGTCGGTACAACAACACACGTCGGTACAACAACACACGTCGGTACAACACATCGCTACAACGCGTCGGAACAGCCACACGTCGGCACAAGTTGGAGATTGGGGGGGGGGGGGGCGAATAGACGGCGGCAAGGTCTATTTTATGTGCGGATTCCCAGCTTCTTGTGTGTGGGCACCCAAATTTGTGTATGGAGTGACCCAAAGCTCCATGCGAGTGTGTAAACCCGTAGGGTGGGGGGGGGGGTACCTTTTTGCTGCTAGTTAAAACTTACCTTCTCGAGGAAGGCGTTTGCCCATTTTGTGAATGTTTTCTTCTGTATAAAAACCCTCTCGTCTTGCAGGGCCTTGATGCGGCCCTTCTCAAAGTTCTGCGTCTCTAGCGTGGACATCTCGGTGGTCCACACGGGACTAGCACTGCCTCATTGTGGCGCGGACCTCCAAGTAGACTGGACTCACGCTGTGGTAGTGCTCCACGTGATAATATAATCCAAGTGCTGATCTAATCCAAGTGCTGATCTAATCCAAGTGCTAATATAATCCAAGTGCTAATGTAATCCAAGTGCTAATGTAATCCAAGTGTTACTGTGGAAGACAAAAAAAAGTCAGTTGAAATGTTTAAATAATATGTGCAATAGTTTTTTTTTTACAAAAAAAATATTAAAAACTGACCATTACATCTGCACAGACTAGACTGACAGTTATACCTGTATAGTCTGACCGTTATACCTGTATAGACTGCCCGTTATACCTGTATAGTCTGGCCGTTATACCTGTATAGACTGACCGTTATACCTGTATAGTCTGACAGTTTTACCTGTATAGACTGACCGTTATACCTGTATAGTCTGACCGTTATACCTGTATAGACTGACCGTTATACCTGTATAGTCTGACTGTTATACCTGTATAGACTGACCGTTACGACTGGCATTATAACAGCGGGGTGTAATCGTTCAGTGTATAAAAACAGTGAGACAACAGGAGCAGATTTTACCGTGAACCCCAGAGCCGGCGTTAGGGGGTGGCGAACGGGGCGGTCGCCATAGGCCCCGCGCTTGAAGGGGCCCCGCGCTTCAGCAATGTCATTGTTATCTGAATTAGTTCGTAAACTTAAAAAAGTTGTTGCTGAATTCAATTGGGAAAAACTAAATGGTTGAATGCCGACGTTGTTGATTGTTATAACCGAGGCCACGGTTGATGTTGGTGAGTCCCACCTGAACTGGGACAGACCGTAATTCTATACAAAAAACAGTGTCACACAACTCCCCTTTGTGTAGGGTACGGTCGCATGGCATTTGACCTGAGCTGACTGGAGATGGCGGTCGAGAATTAGCCCACGACGTAAAGAGATACCCTATTGTGATTGTAGGAAAAAAAGTCACAGGAAAAAAAAACACAGGAAAAAAAACACAGAAAAAAAGTCACAGGAAAAAAAGTCACAGGAAAAAAAGTCACAGGAAAAAAAGTCACAAATATATATTTGCATGGAATTTGTTAATACTTTTATGTATTAAATATTCAGAGAGTGCAAATTAACTTAGGATTAATTAAATGTAATGTAATGTGTCTAGGTTGTATACGCCTAGTAATTTTTATAATTCATCTAAAAATATTTTGTATGAATTATGTAGATTGTAATTATGTTAAACATAATATTTATAGCATTTAATAGAATGTCCACAGTTTTCATCGTGTTTTTTTTTAAATTAAATTACCGTGAAATGGTAAGGTCATCTGAATTACTGCCCTCAACATATGGCAACAATAGTTATGTTTAGTTCAACCACCTTTGCTGCCCACATTAATCACGCTCATTACATAACAAAACTTAGGATCAAAACAGAAAACCGACAAGGTTCAAAGGCTGTCATTGACGCATAGCGTCAACAACACAAATATGTTCGGACAATGCCTACTGAGGAGAGGCCGACCAGAGAATAGCCTACAGCAAAATGTGCCTAAATTTCTTTTATAATTAACTTTTCTACCGCGTATTTAACTAAATACGTAACAAAAGTTGAGATTGTTATGTTAATTATCTTAGAGTATTTTTACTTACAATTGTTATAAATCATAATGCTTTTAACGTCTATAAATAATTTATACTATCAAAAAATACAACCCACAACAATAAACATACAAAATTTACAATTCTTAACAAATTAATAAAAAGATTTCTAAAAAAATTTTTGTGACTTTTTTTCTGTGACTTTATTTCTGTGACTTTTTTTCCGATAAAATTTTTCCACTGTAACTTTTTTTCTGTGACTTTTTTTCCTAGCAAAAACTGTGACTTTTTTTCTGTGTTTTTTTTTCCTGTGACTTTTTTTCCGTTTACCCCTATTGTATGCGGACCCATGAAGACGTCCTTTTAGTGAGCAGACGGGATGTCTGTAGTAGACAGTTAGTGACCTGATGAACTCTAGTCCTGACTTTATTGTTGTAGATGTCGTATAATGTCGTATATATAGGCCTACAGTGTTTCTTCCAGACTTTTTTCTCCGGGTGGGGGGGGGGGGGGCACTTGAAATTTTCGGGGGGGGGGGGGAGGGCGGTAGATTTTCTTCGGGGGGGGGGGGGAGGGGGGCGGACACTGTTAAAAGTATATGTTTTCTATATAAATTATATAAATTTCATTTCGTTTTCGGGGGGGGGGGGGCTTGCCACCCCACTCCCCGCCCGAAGAGATGCCTGGAGGGAAGAAACTCTATATGTAGGCCTACTTGTCTTGGTATAACAAAATTAACATTCAGTTGCGTGCAGAGGGGTGGGAGGAGGGCGGCAAGGGTGGGGGCTTAGGATCTATATCAGGCGGCATTAAACAGAGTGATCTATTATTATTTTTTGGAAGAAAGTTAAAACTGTTGTTATGTTGTGTCACCTTAAGGATTCACCCGTTCAATAATTAAGACAATAATGATTTTGGTTTTGTAATAGATTGAAATAATTGTGAGGTCAAGGGAACTCACTCTTCTGTATTAGTTATATTTATAATATTGTTATCTTGAGTGATGTCCCTTGTGCATTGTACTTCCGTCCTTGCCGGTTAACAATTAAAGCTGTTTACATACTCATGGCTTCTGTCTCCGTTGTATTCATAATCTACCTCAACTGGCGACGAGGATAAACATCTACTAGAAAGAGCACCTACTTACGCAAAAAAGAGGTTTGCTAGAGCTTATTAGCTAATTATTTCTAGAATTATGGCGCTGTATGGCCAAATAAAAGAATTTGATGCGAATGATGAAATCATTCAAGATTACCTAGAGAGGTTAAGCTTTTACCTAGAAGCTAACAACGTGACGATAGAAGCCAAAAAGAGAGCTGTTTTGTTAACAGTCATAGGGCCTCAACAATTTAGGCTACTAAAGGACTTATGCGCACCAGCTAGCCTAACTACCAAGAGCTTTAACGAGCTGAGCAAATTGCTAACAGACCACCATGCGCCTACCCCATCAAAGTTTCTATGTAGAGCTAGATTTGACAGTAGGACTCGTCAACCAAACGAGTCAATATCAGAATATGTTGCTGCTTTACGTCATTTAAGTAGATTTTGTGAATTCGGCGATACGCTGTCTGACAGACTATGTGAAAAGTTTGTGACAGGTGTAAACAGCCCTGATATTCAAAGAAAGTTGCTGCTCGAGTCAGATCTAAAATTGGAAAAAGCAATACAACTTGCAATGTCATTCCAGCAGTCATCAGATGCGGCGAGATCTTTAGCACCTTCAGAGATCCATGCAGTAAACAGCAGGTTAGTCAATAAACATCAACCCCATCAGAGCATTCCAACTTATGCTAAACAGCCTGCTCGTTCAAATCCTAGATCTAAATCTAGTAATAATTATCAAAAATGTCATCGATGCAAAGGTCCCCATGCATCTCATCGGTGCAAGTTCAAGTCTGCAACTTGTTATAAGTGCAGTAAGCAAGGTCACATTGCCAAGGCCTGCTTTGCAAAGTCTTCGTCTGTTGCTAAATCTAGCCAGTCAAGACAGTACCGCAACCAAAGGCAGCACTATGTTAACTCTCTCCAAGACTACCTAACCCAACCAATGAACCACTCTACCTGTGAAAATGCTCAAATTGATTTGCAGCCGGATTTCAACCTGTTCTCTGTTAAATCAATAAGTCATGCTCCCATCAATGTACAAGTTAACATCAACGGTAAGAGCATAAGCTTCCAACTTGACACTGGAGCATCTCTAACAGTCATAACAAAGAAAGATTTTGACGCTGTCATAGGAGGATCAGTGCCTCTACAGCCATGTCACAAGTGTCTAACAACATACACTGGTGACAATGTTCCGGTAATAGGAGAGTGTATGGTTCATGTAAGTTATAATGGTCAAAGTGTTAAACTTCCTCTTCTTGTGGTTGAAGGAAATGGACCGCCATTACTAGGTAGGAACTGGTTAAGTGATCTTAAGTTAAATTGGGAGAGTATTTGTTCATTGAAGAATGTAAAAGAATCTAGTCTTACTTCACTAGATAGAGTTATATCTGAAAATAAATGTGTTTTTGGTAATCCAGGATTACTAAATGATAGAACAGTGAAGTTAAGCATTAAAGACACAAATCCAAGATACTGCAAAGCTAGAGTTCCACCTTATGCAATGAGGAATAAAATTGAAAATGAGCTAAGTAGATTGGAATCTAATGGCATCATAAAGAAGGTAGACTATTCTGATTGGGCAACGCCCATTGTGCCAGTGTTAAAGAAGGATGGTTCTATAAGAATTTGTGGAGACTACAAAACTACACTGAATAAGCAAATAGAGCTAAATAGGTACCCTATACCTAACATTGAGGAAATTTCTTTGAATTTGGCAGGAGGAGACAAATTCACTGAATTAGACTTTAGTCATGCTTACACTCAACTAGAACTGCATACAGATTCAAAAGTCTATACGACAATAAACACACATAAAGGACTCTACCAATATGAAAGACTATGTTTTGGCATATCATCTAGCCCTGGAATTTTCCAAGCTGTCATGGACAGTATTTTTAAGGACATTCCAAATGTTTGTGTGTACTTTGACAATGTGTACATAACTGGTAAGAATGACACTGAACATCTTAAAACACTTGATAAGGTATTGAAAATTGTTGGTGAAAAAGGTTTAAAGATAAACAAAGATAAATGTCAATTCATGCTGACAGAAATTAGTTTTCTTGGTTATATATTAAGCAAACAAGGCATCAGACCTCAACCTGAGAAAACAAAAGCCATTAAAGAAGCACCCAAACCTGAAAATACCCAACAACTAAGAGCTTTTTTGGGCTTAATAAATTACTATGCAAAGTTCATAGGAAATCTGTCTGGTAAACTATCACCACTGTACAAGCTGCTACAGAAAAATGCAACTTGGCACTGGGGTAAACAACAAGAAGCTGCTTTTAACACAGCAAAAGAGGCTTTGTCTGCTGACACCTTACTAACTCACTATGACCCAGGGAAAAGACTTGTATTGACATGTGATGCTTCACCAGATGGTGTAGGAGCAGTCTTGTCCCACTTGGATGAGAAGGGTGACAGACCCATTGCTTTTGCCAGTAGATCTTTGAATCAGGCTGAGAAAAATTATTCTCAGTTAGATAGGGAAGGCTTAGGCATCATTTTTGGTGTTAAGAAATTTCATAAGTTTCTGTTTGGTAGGAAGTTCACCATCTTTACAGATCATAAACCATTGCTAGGTTTATTTGGAGAAAACAAAACCCTACCTGAGCATGCCTCACCAAGAATTCAAAGATGGGCTATCACACTAACTGCATACAATTATGAATTGAAATACAAACCTGGATCTGAGAATAGTGCAGATAGTCTTAGTAGATTACCTTTAAAAAACCAAAGCCTGAGCTATGTACCAGAAGATGTGTTTGTTCTCTTCACTATCATGGATAACTCCAATATAAATGTGAATGATATTAAAAGAGAAACACAAAAAGATGAGTGCTTAATAAAAGTATATGAATACTGTAAAAATGGTTGGCCTGAAGAGTCAGTGAATGAGGACTTAAAGCCATATAAAATAAGAAAAACAGAGTTAAGTCTAGAAGATGGATGTATACTATGGGGGTCAAGAGTAATTATCCCCAAAATGTTACAAAAAGAAGTTTTAAGAACTTTACATGATACTCATCTTGGTTCTTCCAAAATGAAGAGTCTAGCAAGATCATGGTTCTGGTGGCCACATATGGATGCTGATATTGAAAAATATGTAAAACTTTGTTCAAGCTGTGCACAACATTCAAATCAACCAGCTACAGCACCTTTGCAAAACTGGGACTGGCCAGTTGAACCATGGAAACGTATACATATAGATTTCGCAGGACCTTTCATGAACAAAATGTTCTTAATTGTTATTGATTCACATTCTAAATGGTTAGAAGTTAAAATCATGAACACAATCACTGCAAATGATACCATTATAGAACTTAAGGAAATATTTTCAACTCATGGATTACCAGATCAAATTGTTTCAGATAATGGGCCTAGTTTCACAGCTCATGAGTTTAAACTGTTTTGTGTGGCAAATGGTATTGAGCATATAACCACATCCCCCTATCATCCTGCTGGGAATGGTTTGGCTGAAAGAGCGGTAGGCATATTCAAAACCGCTATGGTAAAAATGAATACCGGTAACAAGTTTTCTCTTAGAGAAAGAGTAAACAGGTTCTTAACCAGATACCGCACAACTCCTCATATAACAACAGGTGTTGCACCATGTGAATTGCTATGTGGTAGGAAAATTAAAACTCATCTTGACCTACTACATCCAACTGTTCAAAGGTCTGTTTCCCAACATCAACATACACAAAAAGTAAATCATGACAAATCATCCATTGAAAGAGAATTTGCAGTTAATGATAATGTGTATCTGAGAAATTATGGGAGAAAGGAAAAATGGATACCAGGTCAAATTGTTCAATGTACAGGACCTGTGTCTTATAAAGTAAAAACAAATGATGGACTTATTGTCCGTAGACATGCAGACCAGTTGAAAATAACTTGTGCAGATAATAAGTGTGAATCTGTCAATCCCACCAAATCTGATCAGTTCACACCAACTCAGTTTGTTCTACAACCAAGTTCTGTTGATATGAGTGAACCAAGTTGTCTGGAGTCAGAAAATGTAAATTCTGGAGTTAATGATTTAAATCCTAGACCTCCTGAGATAGAGAATCCAGATGGTCAGAATCTTGAGTCACCAAATCAGAAGCCACTGAGAAGGTCAAACAGGACAATCAAAGTCCCAAATAAGTTAGACCTATGATTCTAAAGGTCAAAAGGACTTTGACATTATTGTTTGTATTTTGATTATGTTGTAGCATATTGTGCATTGTTTGTAAGGATGTAATCTACCATAGTGTTCATGTTACAATATAATTGGTGATTTTAGGATACTATCAATTGTTCTATTGAGAGATGTGTTATTGTGTTCTAAGGGTAAAGGGATGTAATAGATTGAAATAATTGTGAGGTCAAGGGAACTCACTCTTCTGTATTAGTTATATTTATAATATTGTTATCTTGAGTGATGTCCCTTGTGCATTGTACTTCCGTCCTTGCCGGTTAACAATTAAAGCTGTTTACATACTCATGGCTTCTGTCTCCGTTGTATTCATAATCTACCTCAGGTTTTAAAATATTGTATGAATTCTAAACAAATTTAGAAGTCTATACTGTTTTGATACATCAGGCCGAGTTCGCTGTATTGAAAACTTTATTTTCCTAATTATTCGGCACGTGATTAAATTTTCTTAAGTGATTTGGTATGAATTACATAACTGTCAAAAGTGATTTAATATCTTAGCAAAGGGAAAAAAAACTACGAACATTGGGTTAATACATGGGAGAGATAAAAATCTGTTATTATAGTGGAAAGTTTGACATTAGCTTATAAACTCCAAAACATTTGTGTTATTATGTGTACATCACATTATATAGGCCTTTATATATATATATATATATATATATATATATATATATATATATATATATATATATATATATATATATATATATATATATATATATATATATATATATATATATATATATATATATATATATATATATATATATATATAATGGAAAGGCCCCGCGCGGATGGTTGGCCCTAGGCCCCGCGTATTCCTAACGCCGGCTCTGGTGAACCCTATGCAAAGCAGACAAGACAGACTTTGTTTAAAAATGTAGCAGACATTTGGCAGACATTGGAACGGTATAGGGCCTACCAGCCGTATAGAGACATAAATCTTCAAGAGAACTAAAGTCCAGAAAACTGCACACATAATCTACCACCAGCCCAGCCCCTCCCAAATAGAATACGGTACCGAAATGTGTCGTGCATGACTGCATTCAAACACCACCTTTTGTTCCACTCCCCCCCCCCCCCCCCCCACTCCTCCGTCACACAAACACACACGAACGGGGTAGAGAAACACCAGTTCGTGAATGGAACGATTCCTAAACCGGAAGTTGTTACAACCTGCCCCCATGTTCCAGCGTTTATCGTGTTCTATTGGCTTTTGTTGAATCAACGACGGGAGACACGTGACCATATGTGTCAAGACATTGGGCTATTAGCATATCTACAGCCATAGGACCAATGACATCTACAGCCATAAGACCAATGACATCTACAGCCATAGGACCAATGACATCTACAGCCATAGGACCAATGACATCTACAGCCATAAGACCAATGACATCTACAGCCATAAGACCAATGACATCTACAGCCATAAGACCAATGACATCTACAGCCATAAGACCAATGACATCTACAGCCATAAGACCAATGACATCTACAGCCATAAGACCAATGACATCTACAGCCATAAGACCAATAACATCTACAGCCATAGGACCAATAACGTGTTGGACACCTTAGACTCTTCAAAGCTTTAGAATGCGTCCTATAATTCTTGGATAATCGATACTTTATACTGATATAGTTTAGAATGGTTCGCCACATAACTGACAGCATCAGCACCATCAATTAACTGACCAGTACCAGGCCTATCAGATGACTGACCAGCACCATCAGCTGACTGACCAGCACCATCAGACAATGGACCAGCACCATCAGACAATGGACCAGCACCATCAGACGACTGACCAGCACCATCAGATGACTGACCAGCACCATCAGACAACTGACCAGCACCATCAGACAACTGACCAGCACCATCAGACAACTGACCAGCACCATCAGATGACTGACCAGCACCACCATCAGATGACTGACCAGCACCATCAGACGACTGACCAGCACCATCAGATGACTGACCAGCACCATCAGACAACTGACCAGCACCATCAGACAACTGACCAGCACCATCAGACAACTGACCAGCACCATCAGATGACTGACCAGCACCATCATCAGATGACTGACCAGCACCATCAGATGACTGACCAGCACCATCAGATGACTGACCAGCACCATCATCAGATGACTGACCAGCACCATCAGATGACTGACCAGCACCATCATCAGATGACTGACCAGCACCATCATCAGATGACTGACCAGCACCATCAGATGACTGACCAGCACCATCAGATGACTGACCAGCACCATCAGATGACTGACCAGCACCATCAGATGACTGACCAGCACCATCAGATGACTGACCAGCACCATCAGATGACTGACCAGTACCATCAGATGACTGACCAGCACCATCAGATGACTGACCAGTACCATCAGATGACTGACCAGCACCATCAGATGACTGACCAGCACCATCAGATGACTGACCAGCACCACACCATCAGATGACTGACCAGCACCATCATCAGATGACTGACCAGTACCATCAGATGACTGACCAGCACCATCAGATGACTGACCAGCACCACCATCAGATGACTGACCAGTACCATCAGTTGACTGACCAGCACCATCAGACAACTGACCAGCACCATCATCAGATGACTGACCAGTACCATCAGATGACTGACCAGCACCATCAGATGACTGACCAGCACCATCAGATGACTGACCAGCACCATCAGATGACTGACCAGCACCATCATCAGATGACTGACCAGCACCATCAGATGACTGACCAGCACCATCATCAGATGACTGACCAGCACCATCATCAGATGACTGACCAGCACCATCAGATGACTGACCAGCACCATCAGATGACTGACCAGCACCATCATCAGATGACTGACCAGCACCATCAGACAACTGACCAGCACCATCATCAGATGACTGACCAGTACCATCAGATGACTGACCAGCACCATCAGATGACTGACCAGCACCATCAGATGACTGACCAGCACCATCAGATGACTGACCAGCACCATCATCAGATGACTGACCAGCACCATCAGATGACTGACCAGCACCATCAGATTGACTGACCAGCACCATCAGATTGACTGACCAGCACCATCATCAGATGACTGACCAGCACCATCAGACAACTGACCAGCACCATCATCAGATGACTGACCAGCACCATCAGATGACTGACCAGCACCATCAGATTGACTGACTAGCACCGGGAGCCACGGGTCAGCAAGATGTAGCGAGCACATGTGTGTCCGCTCTCAACACGTCATGGTCATCTGCTAGTGGCACCACGAGGGGGAGAGGGTGGAGGGGGGAGAGATAAGGCTTTGTTGAGATCTTCAGAACCCCGCCCCTGCCCCATAATCGATTTTACCTTATCATCTGGACCCTCAGACCCCCCCCCCCCCCCCCCCCACGCTGAAGAACGCTGGCCAGGATGACTGCGGCCAACGAACACGATGAGTCACCAGTCACCCGCGGCTAGGCACAAGCAGAGAATTAATTTAAATCTAATTAACCGTCAAAAGCTATAAATAGATGGTCCAGGAAAACAGGTTTAGCGTGAGGAATGTTTCATACGGGGGGGGGGGGGGGGGGGGACAGAGATGGGTAGGGGCAGCGGTGGGCAGGGGCAGCGCGGTGGGCAGGGACAGAGATGACACTTGCCGGAGTAAACCAAACGACAAAACCAAAGTTTGTCAAACAATTCCCGCCCTACAGACATGAACGGCCCGTGCGACCAAAGTGAGATAACTTACTTGTTGTTCCCTTTTGTTGTCCTCCCCTTGTGTGCTGTCTGACCCAACGAGCTGTTTGTTGTCATACGGACAGGTCGCGCGCAATGAATGAACTGCTATTTATAGTACAACTGTAAGATCCTGTGAACGGGGTGAGCGACTGGCCCGCCTGACGTGCTATGAATTACTCACAACTTCCGGGTAAACTTTGGCGCGCTTTTTGTGTCGACCTGGTGAGACGGCGGGAATTATGTCTTGGGGCCCGTGATATGAGCGCGAGGCAGACGTTGAAAGACGTTGACTTAACTGATTCAGCCTGGGACTGCGAGTAGACCAAAGGTCACATTCAGGAATGTAGCTCCTAGTCTGTGAGTAACAACCATAGGCGTGTCACATTACGTCATCGGTAGAGGCGGGGTTTCATTTCGTGTAAGATAAACAGATACTTGGGAGATAATTGTTTTTTTCCGTAGAGAAAATCTCAATCTAGTCAACAAACACAGACCTACAATTCTCTGTCTCTTAATGTTGGGTAGCGATATCTGTATCTGCCATATGTCATTTTATTCAGGCTACCTTCAGAGCTGGTGTACAGATTGTTTAAAATGTGAACACACCAATCACGGGGTAGAACTTTTGAGGTGTCGCTCCAATCAGATCAAACTCTGTGGGCGATGTGGGACACAAGGGAGGGGAGGGGGGGAATGACCCGGGTTGTAATGGGTTGTTAATAAACTCCATAAACTCGATAAAACAAATTTTAAAAAAAAACTTCCTATAAATATTTAAAATGATAAGCTCCCCACTAAGACATTAAAACAATAGATGTAAACAAGATGGCTGGCGACATAGAGACGGACCAACCAACGAACGTGCAAGCAGTAGCGGGGTGAACATGTGCGAACACGGGAAGCGGGTGAGGTGTGGTTTAGGTTTTCAACACCGAATAGCAAAAGGTTTCTGGGAAAGTGGAAAAACAATTTACTTAGGTCTACACAGTTATTTTAACATTATTTTTGTCGGTTTAAGTCGGCTATAATAATCTAATCAGCAGTTGCGAAAAAGAATCTGTACGTTGATTAAATTTCGATTTGTAGTCAACTATTGCAGACTTGTGGTCAAATATTGCAGATTTGTGGTCAAATATTGCAGATTTGTGGTCAAATATTGCAGATTTGTAGTCAAATATTGCAGATTTGTGGTCAAATATTGCAGACTTGTGGTCGAATATTGCAGACTTGTTGTCGAATACTACTCGAATATTGCAGATTAATTTAGTTTTTACCCATTTTTCAAATTTTAATAAAGATTTGTTAATTTTTTTGTGACAATGCAATCACATGTTTTTTTCAGTTTAATAAACGATTTATTAAGTGTATACAAATTAATTAAAGGCCAACTATATTCCCCAACAAAGGAAGGCTAAAAGGATAAATAGTTAAGTAGTAGCTATCAGACGACCAGTGGGGTGGCAGACGTGTACACGTCATGTTTTCAACCCCAACAAAGGGCTGCTAATCCTGGTTAATCTACAGATTGGCTTTTAGAAGCTGTAGGTCATTTGTTTTCCTGTCGGGTGTCGATTAAAGCTAAAAATTTAAAACCGGAATAAAAAGCTTTTAAATAAACATTAAAAAAGGGAAAAAAGGATGAAAATAAAGACAACACCCCCCCCCCCCCCAGTTTAGCAAAAACATGTAAGGGACTTATATTGGATATATCGCTTTCACTATAATACGATCATAAAGTTTGTAAGGTGAGGAGCGGGAGGGGGGGGGGACCTATGGCGATACTGGAGCGATTTTTGTACAATCGAACGCGTTAATTACACGGATTTCAAACGGAGAAAATTGAAACGTGTTGCCGTTTACGGGAGAAAATTAGGGGCCAAGAAAAATGTCTGAGCTGACAATGCAATTTTCTTTGCTCGAGATCTGTCTAACACTTATGATTTGTATGTTTGTAGACAGATAGGGCATATATATATATATATATATATATATATATATATATATATATATATATATATATATATATATATATATATATATATATATATATATATATATATATTGGGATAGGCTCAATGGAACTGTACTGTCTAGACCCAATGTTTTAGTGATGGAGCTCCGTAAAACCAGCAGAATAAATTGAAACATCCGTGGCAAATATTTGCACACTAGAGCTGCCAGTTAGCTCACTGTGAGCGTGCAGACATGGCATTAACTGCTGCCTCACTCGATTCTCATTTGCCCTTTTCACAAAACAACTTCAACCCATGTTTCTAAGCCATGTGAAACTTTTAATCTACCCTTGTGGTGTCGCCCCCCCCCCCCCCCCCCCGCCACAGGGTTGAAGCTCGGGCTAGCCGCACCTCCACACCTACGCCATTATTTTGATATCCACCTAATGTAGCAACCTGAAGCACACGAGTTGACTCAAGATTGTCTACACGGCGAGGTTGGAGGTCGAGGGTACAATATCTATGACGTTCATAGTTTGACATGAAAAATGGCGCCTATGTAAATTAGTAGCACTCGATTACACGCCTGGGTATACCACGTGACTGAAAGCCGTGCCGAGCTAGAGATAAATTCATTAATTACCAATTACGTCAGTCTCTTAATGACTGAACACGTTTAAATCACTCAGTTAATAAGGTTACTGATACAACTTTAGCGTATCACTCAGTTATAAGGTTTACAGTACTGACACAGCTATAGCATATATCCACACGACAGCAGTTATTGCTGCTAATACATGTCATTGATATGATATGTCATATCACTGACATGTCATATCACTGACATGTCATATCACTGACATGTCATATCACTGACATGCCATATCACTGACATGTCATATCACTGACATGTCATATCACTGACATGTCATATCACTGACATGTCATATCACTGACATGTCATATCACTGACATGCCATATCACTGACAGCGTATAGGACGATGTTTTGAGTGGCATCTGGCGCCTTTTGTAAGATGTCATCTGGTGTCATGTTTAATACAGCATTAAAGATGTCATCTAAGCCAACGTCACATACAATATCACCCACACATCAGCATATTCAGGCACATACAAGGTACCATCCTACAGAACCACAGACATAACATATTCAGGCACATACAAGGTACCATCCTACAGAACCACAGACATAACATATTCAGGCACATACAAGGTACCATCCTACAAGTAACATAAATCACACGTAGACTATATCCGGCTGGTTTGAAATGTAGATTTATTATTGCAGACGTTTTTATTTGAATTCATGTATAACCCCCCCCCCCCCCCCAACCCCACCCCGATTACGTGCCGCTTGGGTAGATAGAATTTTTTAAAGCAAACAGTCAAGGCTTAAATACACAAGTGTTGGATTCTCTGCTTGATTTTGTGACTTCTTTGCTTGACTGAATGACTTAGATGCTATGCTTAACTTTATGTTAATTCTTTGCCTGACTTTATGACTTAAAAACTCTGACTTTGAAACTTAGATTTCTAAGAAATGCGTACAATAGCAAACTACCAATCCAGCCCAACTTTTACCTATATAGGACAAACAACTTTGCACTAATATACGCTGTCTTTTCAGATAAATCCAGGTAAAAAATTATCCTGTTTACCCTGTAACGCTTTAGGCTGCCATTAGAGGCCCACATTGTACAGGTATGGCTACAAAGGGGCTTAATCCATGTGACACGCAGAACCGAATCAGTCGACACAACAAAAGGCGGGCAGACGACACACAAGGTTCCCTGGTTCTCAAATTGGCAGGCAGACAAGGAATGGTTAATGGTTCTCACACCTCTGGTTGGTAGCTAGCTTAGCCCACTGAATGACGTTAGCTAGCTAAGCCCACAGTGAATAACGTTAGCTAGCTTAGCCCACAGTGAATGACGTTAGCTAGCTTAGCCCACTGAATGACGTTAGCTAACTTAGCCCACTGAATGACGTTAGCTAGCTTAGCCCACTGAATGACGTTAGCTAGCTTAGCCCACAGTGAATGACGTTAGCTAGCTTACCCCACAGTGAATGACGTTAGCTAGCTTAGCCCACTGAATGACGTTAGCTAGCTTAGCCCACTGAATGACGTTAGCTAGCTTAGCCCACTGAATGACGTTAGCTAGCTTAGCCCACAGTGAATGACGTTAGCTAGCTAAGCCCACAGTGAATGACGTTAGCTAGCTTAGCCCACACTGAATGACGTTAGCTAGCTTAGCCCACTGAATGACGTTAGCTAGCTTAGCCCACTGAATGACGTTAGCTAGCTTAGCCCACTGAATGACGTTAGCTAGCTTAGCCCACAGTGAATGACGTTAGCTAG